GGATTACACTGTCTTTTAGTAAAGTACATATTCTAGTACTTTTGGGGGGGTTGAGTCCCATCCGGTGGCTGAGCGGGTTAGGCGTCTGACTGTGTGTGCTGGCGATTAGGTGCCTGATTCTGAGGGTGTGGTTTCGAATCCCGAAATACTAGAATCTTTACTAAGAAAGTGTAATCCAAATATAACATATGTTACAAAGAATATTTGCATTGATTTGAGGGATGCAAGGTTATACAACAGAAACTGCCATCTGCCAATGTTAAAAGATGTCTATAGCATACTATACAGTTTTACTATTAGGGGATGTCCTTTTGATATTTTGGGAGCGCTGACTGGCTGTTTCAAATGTCTCATTTCGTATGGAAAGTATTTAGTATTTTAATTAAAAAAAGCGTTTCGTATTCCATTTTGGTAAGTGACATGTTGGCGTGATTTCAGACCCCGGCGTCTTGAACAGTTAACCCTGCAACTATCCACTGGTTTATGTACTTCAGACATTAATTGGTACTTGCTTGATAACGGTGTTAGTAGCTACACCGAAACGACGCTCATATTAATAATAAAGTTGTATATCCAAATCCGTTGTCCAATTATTTTCAGGGAGATAAGTGGTAAAGCTCGGTGTTTAATGATTTGTTTGTTGTTATGGCGGCACTCGGCCATATCCTGGCTTTATAATAGTGGCTGTAAACAATCGAGTCTGCAATACAGAGCTTGACATCGTGAGCATCGATCGCTTTTGGGTTACGATAATCCCGCGATCCTGTTTGTCGCCTCTTACGACATGGACAGACTGACAGAGTTTGGTTTTACGCCGCTTTAAGCAATATTCCAGCAAAATCACGGCGGGGGACACCAGAAATGGGCTTCACACATTGTACCCATGTAGGGATTCGAACCCGGGTCTTCGGCGTGACGAGCGAACGCTTTAACAACTAGGCTACCCCACCGCCCCCTTACGACATGGATGTTGCTGAAGATGAATTCTAGCACGGATCTTCACGGATTGAAGACCATCCATGTAATGATGTGAGTGAATATGGTTTTAAGCCGCCTTTAGCATTATTCCAGCAATATCAAGGCGGGGGAAGCCAGAAATGGGCTTCACACATTGTACCCATATGGGAAATAGAACCAGGGTCTTCAGCGTGTTGTGTGGACGCTTTAACCATTAGGCTACCCCACCGCCCATGGAATCATGTAATTTGTCTAAGTGATTGTAAAATTGTCCTCATCATTCTCTGTTTGGCAGCTCTATCAACAGACATTTTATCTTTAAGAGGAGTCTCAATTGCACTGTAAATTTAAATAAACAAGCTGTTGTAAAATGCATAACGTTCTCACTCTCACTGGTGTTGAAGGGTGAGAACATTCATTCCCGCCATACCGACATAACCTCGTCTCCCCACAAGGTACCAAGTACCATTCGATGATGTGGGTATGTCACGCCTGGATAAGTTAATAATTAGGTAATGTGGGTAGTTGGAACAGTCCATTTTCCTGAATGAAGGGATGACAAGACAATACATCAGGTATTTTAATCCAAGTAGCCTGATGCATAATTCCAATATCTAAGCATATCAGGTATTTTAATCCACATACTGTAACACGTATCAAGTTATGAGATAGGCGTAGTCCTCAACTGTCGTGATGGTTCCCTTGAAGGTAGCTTTTCCGTACACCTCCGGTATTCTTTCATTCTTCCTACTGCTGGGGCGCTGGGGTAGCCTAGTGGTTAAAGTATGGTGTCCTATAATTGCCATCGCGTGGCGCGTAAAAAAAGAACTACGTCGTGGGCGACGTCGCCCACGACGTCGCATAAAAAAGACGACGTCGCCCACGACGTCGTGTAAGACGTCGTCCACGACGTCGCGCAGAAATACACAAGAGAGATCTACGACAAAAATACAAAATCGACGTCGTCCACGACGTCGAAGGCGACGTCGCCCACGACGTCGAGGTCGACGTCGCCCACGACGTCGCGGGCGACGTCGTGTTTAGAAATTGTTATATTGGAAAATCGGGGAATAACCTTTGTGGTGCAGTTATACTGCTATTGATCTCTAATCACTGATTTCATGTTCAACATTACTACTTATTTAAGTAAACCAATCAAGGGGTAAGCGCCAGAACACCTTAAGTAAAAAATTCTGTCAAATTTAGTTGATGCTTGATGTTGTGAAAACGGTGTTGTTTTAAAGGATCAAAACACTGGTTTTCTACAAAATGTAAAATGTCTCCACTCAGGAAACGAAATATGACTTTTGTACCAGCGGGTTGACATGTGAACCAGCGGGTTTAGTGAGTGAGTTTAGTTCACTCAGTTCATTAGTAGTGAGTTATTCAATTTCTTACATAAACGTGCAAGCTATAAGAATGTTGGAATTGACAGTTTTCATCATCATTTCCACAAATTCAGTTATGGAAAATGCACAATAGATTTCTTTATACTTCTCGTGGTGGAACATACATATATGTAAATGGTTATATGTTTATTGTGAACAAGAAGAAAATGGGAAAATGGATCTCGTGGAGATGCATTCAGAACGACTGCATATCAGTCTTAACAGTGAACGACATAATTTCCCAAGTACCTGGAGACCACAACCACGGACCTGTACACAGCGAAGTCAAAGTGAATCTTTTCGACTGTACCAAAAATACTGACGGCCCCCGCACAAACAACAACCTCCGGGGTTGCAATTGGCATGGCCGTCTCATGAAGGTTGTGGTAAAACAACATCCCACCCTATTCGAGATGGCCAAGTTCCTGGAAGATGAACAAGGACTGAACGAGGCAAAGATGCTTCAGTACAATGCCGGCCAAAGACTGACCCCAAATAGAAGTACAGAGATTTGGAGGAACGACTAGATACCTTGAAGTTCAGGCTTGCAAATAACCACCCGACATTGATGGAGTACCTGGACAATGACAGATAGACACACAGACAGTCACACAGGCTTTATTCAGTAGTTAAGGCCCAGTGGCCCAGAGTACAATTGAAGTTACTCAATTACAACTATTGGTCACGTGACATTAAATTATGATTTTACATGTGATTTACGGATGGACATCAAATGTTTCATGAAAATGGCAACAGATTTAATAATATCAGCATTATTAGAATTAAGTACATTGAATATCGTTTGTGGGGCATCATTAGTGCATTTTAAATACTTCTTTCGGCAGGCAGAGAAAGTCTTACAGACTAATAATAAGTGTCGTTCGTCTTCAGTTTTACCAGAAGAACAATAAGAACATGATAAATCTTCCAATATATTATTATCTTTTCTAAAACGTTGTATTTTTAAGGCATGAAGAGAGATTTTAAATTTACAAAAAAATTCTTAAAAGGGACTTATCATTAAGAACACTGACATATTTTGCAGGTCCGAACATCGATTTACATTGTGAATAATGACTAAGAAAACTCGATGAATTGACTGATGCGTACCAACTGTGAATATATATCTTTTATTCGTTGTTTAAATGTTGACAAAACATTTTTATATCACCAACATTTTGCTTAAATCAAACATGAGAAAACTCGCTTGAAAATAACATATTTCTCACATCTGAAGCCCATGAATACTTTCCACATTTATCCAGTGATAACAATATTTGACAGCTTTGATAGGGGTAGATAATCAGGCATTCTTATAAGTTTAATCCAGTATCTAATAACTCTCATTTGACTCTCAATATGCATGTTATAGCATCCTGTTTCGCCAAGTATGGCTTTATTGGAAGCAAATATACCTTCTGTAAGAAATATTTTAAAATAAGACGCATGGACATTTTCAATGGCTTCGAAATAATTTGCTCCCCATGTTATATGGGAAATTATGACATGATTATATATGTTAAAAGAAATATACTAAATGACAACCTTTTGTAATATGTTATAAAGGATCAAAGAAAGTATACATTTACACAAACACACATTCTTATGTGTTTTCATTGTATTCTAAACCGTAAACAACACCAGCCCAAATCCGATAGCCAGCGCGTATGCATATGCTTAAATTTGCTAGTACACATGAAGGCAAAATGGTATTATATCTACTAGTACCTAAATACTTCTTTATAGAGTCTCAAAGCGTAGTATTTTAAGCAAACACGTTGCTCGAAGTGCAGCCTTCATTTCTATATATTCTGAACAAACACACTGTGTCACAAGCGTTCGGTCCGGCTTGGCTCGAGTCGTCTAAAGCATCTAACACCTCAAAGGTGTATCTTTAATTGTGCTTAAATCCATAGATTAGTATTATATCTACCTACATATCACATTGAAATGTTACAAAATGCCACATGTAAAGGTAACTGCTCCGTTAAAGTGAAGCCCTTGTCTGCCAACCCTCAAAATAGCCTCAATCAAAAGTGTTCAGTCTGTTCGGCCCGGGCTGTCAAAAGCAACTTAAACCTCACACATGTATCTTGAAATGTGTTTAAATCCATAGATCAGTATTATATCTACCTAAATGCCACATTGTGATGTTACAAAGAAAACTGGGTCTATAAAGTGGTATTTAGATAGATATAACTATATTCATTGGATGTAAACAGAATCTAGGATTCATCTGTGAGACTTCAAGATACATGTGCGAGGTTTAAGTTGCTTTTGACAGCTCCGGCCAAGTGGGACCAACAGAAACTTAACACTTTTGATTGAGGCTATGTTGAAAAGAGAGTGAGTGAGTGAGTGAGTTTAGTTTTACGCCGCACTCAGCAATATTCCAGCTATATGGCGGCTGTCTGTAAATAATCGAGTATGAACCAGACAATCCAGTGATCAACAGCATGAACATCGATCTGCGCATTTCGGAACCGATGACATATGTCAACCAAGTCAGCGAGTCCGACCACCCGCTCCCGTTACGACAAGCATGGGTTACTGAAGGCACTTTCTAATCCGGACCTTTACGGGTGAAAATGGAGAGAGAAAGGGGCTGGAAAAGTGATATATAGGTAGATGTAGATGCAAGAACAAAATCCGATACTCGCATCAGAGTTTATTACATCTGTGCAGGTTACAATTTAACAATTCACGAGATTCATGAGCATTTCATCCTTGAAACTTGTTGAGCACTTGGACAACGAATCAGGCTACGTTGAAAACTGATGAGCTCTGATGAGGTTAAAAAAACTACAATATAAGCAGAAACAATTTCACAATCTTTGCTCATTAATGCACTTTAAACATATTTACTTTTGGCATTAATAAACTCTACTATGCTTATTGAAATTGTACAAATACATTTGGATGACTAAACATTTGAACAACATTTCGTTGAACTGTTATCAAAATTGTTTATCAATAATTTATTATTAATACAAATGATAATAATGCAATAAAGTTAGAAATATTATGAGTTGAAAGTAACTTACATTTGTTTCTTGACATGCAGTTATTCGCAGACAGTGAGGTGAAGCAACTTTCCAGCATGGTGGTCAGGCACAGACTGAAGGGCATGCTTTTTTAGACCATGTGCTTCCTTAGGGATGTCATGTGATAAACAAGTGTTAGAAGTGAGGCTAATTTAAATACTTTATGTAAATTAGTTAAATTAGTTACAAAAGTTTAGTTGGTGTAAGTGGGGTTTGAACTCGTAACCTTTGGATTACAAATCCACAGCCTTAACCATTAGACCAATGAGTTAAGATATTTGCATTTTAAATTTTAGTAAAATTTAAGTTTAAGATTAAATTCAAACTTTAACAATATTAACACATAGAATTAAAGGGAATATTGAAACATGCAATCTTGCATTTACAGTAGATGTAATACTAATCTGTGAATTAAAACGCAATTCAAGATACATGTGTGAGGTTTAAGCCGCTTTTGACGGCCCGAGGTATGCCGGACCGAACAATAGTGGCGGTGATTATGTTTAGAGTGTGGGGAAGAGATCGTTTCATTTGCAGATGGGTATGCCTTACATACAATGAACAGTGGCCTTCTAGGGTGGTATTTGATTGGATATAGGTGTAAAAACATTTTCGGGTCGACAGAAATGTTTATCGGGAGTGACTGAAGCATTTTTTGCGTTTTAAATCCTGTTTCGTTTAACGATTCTTCTTTTAGACGTAACCTTGGTCAGCCACGTTCAGAGGCCGATAACCACTCGATATAGTCCGACGTCGCCTGCGACGTCGACCACGACGTCGCTCACGACGTCGCCCATGACGTCGCCCACGACGTCGTTCACGACGTCGCCAACGACGTCGCCCGTTATTTTTGTAGCCAAAATATATTTTACAAAGCGCGACGTCGTCTTTTTTATGCGACGTCGTGGGCGACGTCGCCCACGACGTACTTCTTTTTTTACGCGCCACGCGATGGCAATTATAGGACACCATATTAAAGCGTTGGCTCGTCACGCCGAAGACCCGGGTTCGATTCCCCACATGGGCACAATGTGTTAAGCCCATTTCTGGTGTCCCCCGCCGTGATATTGCTGGAATATTGCTAAAAGCGGCGTAAAACTAAACTCAGTCAGTCAGTCAGTCTTCCTACTGCTCTTTTTTAACTTGTACCCTCCATGATAAGCATATCTACCTCCCCGGGGGTGACGTAGAAAGGAGACTACCTCAAGTCCATTGGCCATTTTGATTATGGACAACAGGGCGAGGCATTTTACTTTTATGTGTGTGTGTGCATGTATGTGTGTGGTTAGTTTTACGCCGCACTCAGCAATATTCGTGTCTATATGGCGGCGGTCTGTAGATAATCAAGTCTGGACCAGACAATCCAGTAAAACAGCATGAGCATCGATTTGCGCAATTGGGAACCACATGTGTCAACCAAGTCAGCGAGCCTGACCACCCGGTCCCGTTAGTCGCCTCGTACGACAAGGATGGGCTACTGAAGATCAATATTCTAACCCGGACATTCACTTGTGGGTAGGTAGGTAGGTAGGTGATCTCTCTTACTACGCCCATGCTCCCAGTGTCGGTTTAAGGATCAACATGGACTACTCCAGGAGACTGCTCATGGGTCAGTGATCACACAGATAACAATCTGAGATGACCAGTAACTAGACAATGTGGTTATTAACCAGTTAGGAAATTAAACGATCGGGGTATACTCCCATAACCTATCATAATGGCATGACGATAACACCCACAATATTAATTACATAACGATGTCTGACCATACATTTACACGTTGCTGTAAACTGAAATATCAGTACTGACCAAGTGAATGAATATTTTCATAGAATTAAATTAATGCATTCATAACATACTTGTACAACTCAATTTTAAGTGGAATCGATTTACGTACACGACTACAATGATAGCAAGGGGACGTGATCACTGTGGGGAGTGAGCGAGTTTAGTTTTACGCCGCACTCAGCAATATTCCAGCTACATGGCGGCGGTCTGTAAATACTCGAGTTTGCACCAAACAATCCAGTGATCAACAGCATGAGCATCGATCTACGCATGACATGTGTCAACCAAGTCAGCGAGCCTGATAGCCCAATCCCGTTAGTCGCCTTGTACGACAAGCATGGGTTACTGAAGATCAGTCATAACCCGGATCTTCACGGGTCTGTGGAGGGGAATGTGGCGGGATTTACAACACAACCCAATGAAATCCATTCAAAACTTTATTCAAGACAGAGTCTTAACACACCAAACTGGTGACAGTATGGCCATGTGTAGAACACCCTGGCACGGTAATGTATGATGTCAGTAACCTAAATATGGGTGCTGCAGGTATAGTCTGTATGACAGATACATAACAAATCACGTAATGTATATATAGCGTAACCTAATTTCAACAATGGAATATACTGCGGAACTGTTTGTATATCATTTTTATGTTGTAAATTGGCACATAGGTAAACATTAAACACAATGTTTTTTATTGCACATTGCTTAAATAGAAAAGTTCAAATTGTTAAATATTGTAAATCATTATGTAGAACTGAATGCTGAATCATAGACTCGCATTACTCATATTTTTCAAACATATGAATATATATTAATGTAACACAGGTAAATATGAAATTGAAAAAATATATTTTTACAATGTATATATAATCACAAATGATGTGAACAAATGTTATATACATATGAAAATAGTGACTGCATCAAAGTCATCTACCAACGAGTACAAAACAATAGTTATTTTATATTTCATCAAAACTATATTCTTTGCCACTAGTTGCACACTATTATATATTCTTCTTTGCCACTAGTTTCAAAACCACAATATGTCCTTTCAGCAACGATTTTCAAAACTGTAGTATATTCTTCATTCAAAAGCCTTCACAGTTGTAGGCTCAGGAGACACATAATTTAGTTTTCTATACAAATAATGCACAATCCTATAATACATTTGGTGTGTAATAGAATGAAATAAGCCATTCACATATTCATTATATCCATTCAACACAAAAGAGAGAAATTATTTGAAAGCCACAAAATTGGCATCTCCACAAGAACAAATATTCTATTTATGCAGTTCTCATTCTCCTTTATACTATTTTTATATCAAAGGTTTAAACCATATGAAAACAGGTCCATGTTCCATACTCATAATCAGGGCGTGGTTTATTGGTTAGGGTGAGACTCGTTGGCTGGTACACACAAGGAGACCAGACCAGCAGGGTAAGAGCCGTGGATCCTCATCCCGAGTTTGTTCTTCGTGTAGCCATAGGCCATGCCATCAACATCAGCTGCTCTGATCTGCTTGATCTTCATGCCTGAAAAGTGAAGACGATCCTGATGAGGCCGGAGACTGTGTGAGTGAGGGAGTGACGGAAGGGGAAAGGATGAAGACAACAATATCAACACCATAATGAAAACTGTGTTGGGCAAGAGGGGTTACCAAAAATACTGACGTGTTTTATTCTAGAAAAACAGACTCGAGGAAAATGACATGATGATGTCATATGTTAACTCACCAACACGAAGGCTGACCTGGTTGGAGTTTGTCTTCTTCCAGTTCTGGACAGCAAAGACTGATACTTTACTCATTGTTGACAAACTGTTCTGGGGTCCTGTGGAGAATAGAAATGCACATTAACATTTTGGGAAGGAACCCTTCATTGAATAAATGTATTTGTTGTCACTGAAGTAATGTTAACAAAGGTTGAAACAAATCCCCGACTCCTAGAATCCTACCTGTGCTGGAAGACTTGGATGGCCCTCCCTCCTTGACACTGGGTTGGAATCCTGTGGAGAGTAAAATATTTTAAAACAATTTTGAAAACGACAGTTCCATGAATGAGGTATTTGTTAAGATTGATTTACAAAATATATGTTTGAATGCCACCATATTTGAGGTGAAAGTACAACGTTCTAAAGTAAAATCAAAGTTTAAAACTATTCCAAGGATCAAGATAGTGCTGTGTGTATTATACATATTTCTTTTTATACATATTTTTTTTGTTCATCATTTATAATTCCTTTGAGCTACTGCACTGAGTCACACCTGTGGAAGAATAGTTAGATGTCCATCCTTCCTTTACTCTGGGTGACCTCTGGTCATTGTTGTGCCCTTGTGCCCTGTCACATCCTGGGGAGTTACTCTTAACCTCCTTAGCTGCCCTGCGGCGCCTACGGGCATCAGATGCAAGGCCAGGTTGACCAGGCTGAGATTTGGAGTGTACAGTAGGGTGAGGTTGTGCATGCTCTGTTGGCAATTCCTTCTGTTTAGGGGGGCGATGTCCTTAAGTGATTCTCCTCTCTAGAGTGTGAGGGTTGATAATCTGATCCTTTCCTGAGGTCTTGTACTTTGGTTTCTTTGCTGTTGGCAGCCGATTTGTGTCTCCGAGGCTCAGGCCTTGAACTTTGGAAAGTATTGGCTGATCTCTGTCTGTCGAGGCTGTTGTCTTCTCTCTTCTGTCTGGGAGATTTAGCTGGGATGACATCAGCACCTGTTGTGGGAGTGGACACACTGTCTGGAGACTGTGATGTCTCTTTGGCAGGCTCATCATTGTCAGACATCAGGATTTCCTCCAGGACTTCAGCAAGATGATGCTCATTCTTTGGAGCTGCAAGGCTTCCCACAGTGGTCTCTTTCTTTCTAGCCTGAAGAGATGTGATGTCCAGTTCTTCATCCGAGTCTTCATCATCAACTGATTCCTTGTCCTCATCATCTGAAATAGCTTCTTCACTGACTTCATCCACATCCTCAGTGCTTGTTGGGTCATCCTGTTGGGGTAATGATGTATAGTCTGAATAATATCTCTTCGTACAGTTATAATTACCACTAACAGAATTTTTATGTCACATACATACTCCATCTACATGTAGTTTCATCAAATTAATGTACAATTTAAGGGGTAAAACGCTCACCTGATGTTTTGGGAATGTGTGTTTCTTGAGGTAGGATTCCCATACTTCTTTAGCCATGGTTGTTGTGTCTGCCTCCTCTGGTTCATAATCCAGGCAGCTGTAACAAAATGTAGTCAGCATAAAATTGCTCCTCCATTGCTATCATCACAGCAAAGTATAATGCCATTAACACAAATAGGACACAAGACTTCCAGTCTGTTATATGTACCAAATGTACCAGAAACTCATTAACAACTTACCTCAGTGCTGGAGGAGTGAGTTTCTCCATCCTCTCTACAAGGTTATTGATTGATGCAAACATTGCATGGAGCTTCGTTTTCTCTTGTTCCAGAAAGTCTCCTTTCAGATTCTCCGTTTCCTGGAAAACCAAATAATCACATTCTTAGGGAACTGTAATAAACAACTGCTATCTTGTTGGTCAACATTATCTCCATATATAACATTTAAATTATACTGAAACTGTGTATGGCTACTCACCTGAGCTAAGACTTCGCGTTCACAGACTTCATTGGTGAAGAAGATGTTGTATCTTGTCAAGGCAGCATCTGTTTTTGATTTGAAGGTGGTGTACTTTTTGTCCAGCTCTATTTCGGTAGATGTCATGGTGCCAGACAGTTTTGTATACAGGTCCTTCTTCTTCCTCACTCTCCGTCCATAATACTGGTGGAATAAGGATGACAAAATATGTTAACAAAGAGTTACTATACTAGTGAAAGTTGATGAGGTTATACACATCAATATTCAGTTCATCAAGCTTCACAGAATATATCAAGGTTGTCCCTTGTATTGGTGAACACTAACTATTCAAAGGCCAAAATTATCCAAATTTTCTGGACTTCAGAGGGTTGTTAATGAGTTATATTTCTGGTTGTCATCTGGCATCAAGTCATGACTGGAAACCTAACAAACCTTCCATGCTTGTGCTGCTTTCTTCTCCAGCTTCAGATGTGTTTTCTTCATGGCTGCTGCCCTCCTCAGGAGCTGCTCGAATACATGATTGTCTGACCTGTGTAATTTAAGGTAATCAATTTTGTGTTGTTAAGAACCCATGGCATAAAGTGGATATTTCAATTATTTCAGTACAGCATAGAAGTTAAGAGACACACTATGTATGATAATGAATATTGTCCATACTAACACCTCCTGTATGTGTCACCAAACTGAATGTTATAGTAGAAATGGCTCTCATGACATATGTCTATGTCATACTGATGACCATTGCTAACATACATACTTTAAAGACATACTCACATTAGAAGGTCTCCAAATGGTCCATCTGGGCCTGTATGTTTAACCATATCCCCTAGAACCTCTTTGTGGAAATCACTGATCTTTGCCAGGCATTGATTGAATCGTTCAGCTCTGGACTGAGAGTTATATCTTTTTTGGCTGTGTTGAAAGCCTGGAAACAAAACAATAAATCTAAGACTGATCTCCATTCATCACTATCCCTTCTGGAGTGGACAGAGGGAAATGTCATTGAGATTTCAAGATCGTTACAATTTAGAGAGATTAATAAGATCCCTATGTCAGTCAGCCTCAAGTTGGTGTTGGAACACCCTTTAATACCAGTAACCAAAAAGTGTATTTGAACAATTTGCCAGTTCAGCTTCTGATGTTGTGTAATCGTGATCATGCAATATGTCACATAATGTGTTTAGATTATTTACTTATAATAACTTACGTAGTTCACAGAAGAATTTGAGTATTTCTCTTCCCTGGTCGATTTGGTCGGCATATAACTGACTGGCTGCCACGACTGTGTGTACCACAGCCTTCCATGCTTTCATCTCAAAGTAACTGAAACAGCAAGGACGATAGTTTGTTTTCTGGAACTAAATATTGACAATTGTGGTTTTATTATTAATCTGCCAATGTGACATTAATTCACTTTTGACAGCAAAGTACCGTTTTCGATACCAATAAAACTCAGAAATGTTTAGATGGTACACAAAGTTTCAATCGCTTCGTAGCCCTGCAGAATCAGGCCTACGTGTGAGTCAACGAAAAAGCTAAGAATTACTGCGGGTTGAAGTAGCTACGCGTGATACATACAGCATCTTGCTAGATTAACTTAATAAGTAGCCAAAAGTGAATACTTACGTTATGTCGTTTTTCTCATCAAAGAGTAGAAGTTTCCTCCTCTGAGGTAATTCCATTTTGAAAGTGGCGCTAAACAACTTTCTCTGCGTAATGGCGCTAACATTAACAATGATGCTGTTGTCTATGGTAACGTCATAGTGTTACTTCCGGTTTGGAGCGTGATGTTCTACATCAACATTATTTATTAATATCCCTCTGGTAGAACATACAAAATCAAGTTGAGGACGATCCCTCCATTAACTGGGTGTTCTGGCGAAGGCCACATTACAATAAACAATAATACTTGTAGTCAGGGGGCATAGGGATATTTTGGTTCAGATTCTTCCAAAAGCACCAAATTTGGCACAGAGGTAGCTAAAGACATACTAAGTTGATTTCTGACGGGCGCCAATATGGCCGCCCCCTGTGGCGGCCATATTGGACAAAAAACAAAATGGCCGCCGCCCCGATTTAAGAGTTTGTTTTCCTACGGTTGTATATGGTCATGTCACATATCAAATGAACGATAATAAAAAGAGCTTTCCAATGATGTATAGATCAATTTACTGTAACCATTGTGACAAAAGTTACCAATATAAACTTTAGAGAGCTGACCGAAAACTTCAAAATATGATACAAAACCCATCAAAATTCATACAATAATTGGAATTTGAAGATATTTTCACTTTGGAAATTGTCAATTCAGTGTTTAGTTTTAAGAGGTATCATATTGTAAGTGACTTAAAATGGAATTATGTAGAAATAATATTTATGTTTTAATCCTAAGATGTTTTAATAAGTAGTGAATCAGAATATAGTATATAATAACAATAGTATACACAGAATGTATATATTGTACTTGCACATGACTGTCAGTGTAGATAAAGTAACGATTTTACCTAGTTACTGTCAGTATTTGTGCATCCTCCTTCGCATTGGCAGAGGACTGTACATCGACACCAGCACGGTTGCATTTACACCTTCCCACACAGCCCTTTTTGCAACCACAGTGTAGGAGGATAGAACATGCTGCTGAAGCATCACTGAGGGTGGTCCATAGAGGTTGCCAGTTATTGCTGCGGTCTTTCTGCCAACCCCAATCACTGAAGTCAGGGATTTCCTGGTAAGCAATGGTTGCCTGCTCCAAAAAGAAACTCGTCTGCACAATAGATCGTTTCACATGATGAAACAACGCAGCTTGAGTTTTTCCAATGACCTGCTTCCAGTAGTGAAAAGGCGATGCCTTGCTTCATTCGCGCGCCCTACTCCACAACTTCTGCTGCACATCAGTACAACAACTCTTTCAATCTGTTGCATGTGTCTCGACTCAATCATTAAGTGTTCATGATCCTGTGTGAGAGCCACTAGTGTGTCTGTTAGGTCAGGTAGACTTGCCCAGGTTGTCCATGCAGTCTTCTTTCCACATCCAAGAATATGTGAAGTTGTGTCACAGCCAGTAATACTGTGGAAGAGGGGTTATGCCAAGGATTTTGATCGACCAAGATGAGAGTACATATCATGGATTGGGATGTGTCTGTACTTTTTACCAGTTCCAAATCCGATCCAGAGCTCTGTCAGACCTAAGGTCTCAAAGAACCTTATTGCCAAAATCACAACATCGCTGTTAACAGTGCGAACATAGGTTGATGCGTGGCCGTGCTCTGCAGCATGTCGGAGATGAAGGATGATTCTTGTGTCAGCCTCGGTATGGTTGCATGGCTGTAGTGTACCCAGGTCACACTGTTGGTTTGAAAGCACATTTTCACAGTGGGTACTCAGAAGAAGCTTTCCATCCATGTCCGTTTTGGAGATCTGACTGCTGATGAATGAGAAGAATTCCCTTTTGTTCTCCTCATTCTTTAGGAAACCACTGTTCGATTCATGTTTGGTATCAGGGTGCTGCCATCACCAACTCTTGTTCTTGAACCAATCCCACGGCGGTGATGAATGAGGCCTTTAAGATTATTACTCTCTGGGTAGTTATCCCATATCGCATCAATCCGTTGGGCTCCATTCTTCATCTGGGCCTCAAGATATGGAATGACTTGAAGGGACACATAGTCAGAGAATGTTTTTGCTACTGTTGGGCGCAGCATGTGGATGACTGCTGCCATATCCAAAACCATGACTGTTGCTAGTTTTGGAGCAGTTGTACGGCCAGTTGGTGCCTTGATACAGTCCAGTATGTCTGACTTTGTTCCAAATCTCAATGACCCTCTGTCAGCTAGGCTTGGTGGTTCCTTTTGATTTTCATACTTGAAAAAAGTCGGCAAAGTCTGCATCTGGGCGGGACAGCAAAGAAAGGAAGAGCTGTGTCACCAATATCATGTTTTGTTTCTGAACACCAACATCCTTAGGTCCTTTTCTCCTGGGTCAGGTCGATTTGCAAAGGTCAGCTTGTTGTTTTTTTGATTGTATCGGTTACAGGCACAGTTATCTTCACCAGTCTCTCTTGGACATAACCTGCATGCAGGGCTTTGCCAGCTTCAGAGATTTGTAACAGACTGTTCACGACGGACGGCTCCATGACAGTTTGGGTATCCAGAGCAACAAGCTCCTGACCGGTTGCTAGGAATGGGTTTCCAAGTTGTTCAACTGCATGAACAAAAGATAAAATATCTTTTTTGAAATTTGACTTGTAAATGGTGTCCTTCCTCATGATGAGCTGTTGCCTGGGGTGAAAGGTCATGTGTTGATTCAAACTCCTTTACCATCCGCACACAGTCTGGTCCTGCAAGCATATAAAGCATATAAGACCAGTTGCACCTCCGTGTTCCTGGAGGGATTTGTTGGACTGTTCATGGGCTTGGTCCTTGGCCATAAGACTGAACTGAGGGTATATACCAATCTCTGCTGGAGGTTTCACATATCTGTCACTTGCAAGAGACGAGTTGTACCCTGCCCAGGTGATGATGTCACCCTCTTCTACAGGACCCTAGTTCAATACCTCTGAGACGTGTGTAATCCATGCCTGATCCTTCTCCATTGAATCTTCTCAACAAGACTTGGTTTGTAGTAGATTTTGGAGCACAGACATCTGTCTCAGAGAGTTCCACTGGTTGTTGAATCGTATAAGAGTCCGGCAACTTTGGAGGGGTTGTGTCCATTGGATCCAGGATTATCGGAGCACGCTTTACTCCCATATTTTCCTTTGATAGATGATTGGTCACACTGAGTGCATAGCCATGAAATTCATCTTGTGAGAAATTCCCTTGTGCTTTGCTGTCAAGATTATCCACATCATGTGTAGTGAAGACTTTGAAACGACTGTTTGTTGGTACCACAACTCTGTGACGAGCACACACTGCTCTTGCAACATCTCTCTTAACTTCCATGACACGGCTGTTGGAAACTGACAAACTCTGTTCCTTTGCGATCTCAATGTGTGTTTTATTCCGCCCAAGTCCATGCAGTTTGAGTCCATAATAAAGAGGGAATGGGGTTTCCCTCTCCTTACTGTGACCAACTGCTGATGATCGTACAGTATGATGTGTACCTTTAAAGGTGTTGTAGATAAGTAATTGGGAAATGTTGCAGGCAATTTTCTCCCGAGCATCCAATTCTGAATCACTACAGATTTTCTCATACCCATGAAAGGCTACTGGACCTTTGAGTACGACATTAAAGAAAGTTCTCATTTCCTCGCTGACTGGTGTCGAAAGGCAATTTTCAGGGAAGGATCCACAAAAACATTCTTGGTTCCTTAAACATAACTTGTGCATCGTCATAGCAGCTCGCATAAACGTAAGTGCATCCTTTTGCTCAGCTGCACAGCTATATGTTTTTGCAAGTTCATCAGCAACCTTGACCTTTTGACGTTTTTTTATTGACATTTTGATGTTTTTGGTCAACCCTCTAGATCTTATTTTTCTTATCACTTCTTTAATATAATTCAAACAAATGTCATTTATATATCATTGTAAAGCTCTTTTTATTGTCTTTCATTTGATATACAACATGATTATGTACAATTGATGACTAAAAATGTTCTTAAATCGGGGCGGCGGCCATTTTGTTTTTTGTCCAATATGGCCGCCACAGGGGGCGGCCATCTTGGCGCCCGTCAGAAATCAACTTAGTATGTCTTAAGCTACCTCTGTGCCAAATTTGGTGCTTTTGGAAGAACCTGAACCAAATACCCTGAAAATAGCCCTAAGCTCCCTGACTATTGGGCCTAACCCACATTTCATCGATACGTTTAACGTAAATAGTGTCGTTCCGAGTGGTCCCCCTTATAAAAGAAAAGGGAAATGTCAAAAAGCATCTCGGAAATATAGAAACGAAAAACGCATTAACCTATTGCGTGTCAGACAGTCACGCGCGTAGCAAGCATTACGTATATTATCTGCTATTGTTTTAAATATATCTTGAAATAATTTAATGCCATATGTCATTTTTTGGTAATTATAGATATCATTAATAAACAACCAAACTTATATACCCTATGTACTTACTTTAGCGGTATACAAAAACAACAAGATGAGAGTTACTTCCCATTTGTTGTTGCACCATCGAAATCACGTTCAAGAGATGGGTGGATTACACCCACTGGGGAAATACCACACATCTTCAAAATTAACTCTTTGCATATACATTGCAACACTTGCCACAGTCCAGGCACACAGCGGGAAGGAGGCATGATACCCTGTCACGAAGTCAGAGTCTGCAACAGGTACACAGTGTAAAACACCCGACGAACAAAAATCTCGTCTGCTCGACTTCGTGTGCCAAAGTCTTCAGAACAGGAATTGCTATCGTAGGAGTAATTCCTTCATTTATGAATCGATATATTTCTGACCTTCATTTATTATACACTTTTTATTTAAAATAAAATATTTTTAAATTTAATACAATTAAAATGTTTATTTTATGTTTGAAAAATTAATTAATTCTACATTTCATTCTTTAGTTTCATTTATCAGTTGATGACATAAGTAATTTGTGATTATAGTCAATTTACTCTTCTAACATTAGATACTAAATATATACATTGTGTTGGGGCATATTGTTGTTTTAGTGTTTAAATTACTTAGGTCTTAATTGCTATTGACCATAAGAGATTGATACTTGTTAACTGAAAATCGTTTGATTATATTGATAAATATTGGATAATTAACTTTGAGTAAAAATGCAAACAAAATCTAAAAGAAATTAACAAATTTCACATCACTAGTGAGTGAGTCATAACATATTTTGACCTGGATTGCAAACTAAACACCGTCTTGAACATAGCTTAGAGCCATCCCATGAATAAAGACCAAAGTTTGTATCGATATGTTAAAACTTTCATCAGTAGTTTATGTACAATATTATCGATGCCACAGTTTTGATGTCGATAGTCAAAATAATTTCTCCCCTCGAATATATTTCCAATTATTGATCTTTTTAGTCATACCTAAAATTACTGTTTACTTGGAAGTCAGTCAGTGTAAGAGGAAGTTAGTGACTAAACTACTCTTGTGTTGTTATGTGACATAAAAATCAAACAAAGTTGATTAATGTTTCTGATCATATATATACTGAGAGAAACAAATACAGGAACACAGGAAAATTTAAGTATTCCTTTAATATTTTCCAGTTTTCATTGCCAGCTTTGAATAGTGCTATGGGAGGAAATCTGGGAATAAATATAGGAACACTGCCATGAAGCGGTTTTGAGGTTATAGTCATCCATTTGATTAGATGCAAGTGGGTACTGGTCATGTAAGGTTTGAGCATGAATCTGTCCAAGTGGTTAGGGTATAGATCTTGGTTTGTACAAGTTATCCAATTCAGGTAGTTTATTGGTGCTGCAAGTGACTGTATATTTAACAGGAAACAGAAAATTAAAGGCAGTATTTCACACCACAATTCCCTTAAATAAATAATGCATCAGCCCTCGGGGGAAGTTACCATATAATATTCCCCAAAAATTTACGTATTTAGATTACAATATTAAATTAAAAAGTCCGAATGAATTAAGGCAACGTTGCATTAAATCAAATCTCGCACCCTCTACCGGCTGAACATTATTTCCAGCGAACTCCACAGAGTTATGTCCCTTGGCATGCTCCTATAACTCCTTTTAGGACAGAACTCAGTCCTAGACAAAAACATACACGAAACTTGAACTTTCAGCTTCTGATTTGAATAACCCATAAGGCCAGGATTGTTTGAGAGGTTGAAATAAAATTTTAACATAAAATGTGTACAGAAGGATTGCTTTAGAGGATTTGGGGATTTAACTGGGTGACTGCAGGTTGAAATAATATGTTGCTTCCCTGGAGTAAGTTTTGTTTATGATTCTGTATTTATATTCTCTCTGTTACAAGTATTACGAACATGCACTCACAAGATAGTATTTCATATCAGAATTTTTTTTCTATAATGTCAAATATTTCGAAATTAATTTCACAATCAAAATTTCATCATATCTGTTAACTAAAAGGGCCCAATAAGAAATGGAGGGTGATATTTACAATTTTATGTTATAAATAATGACATTTAAGACCCTGGCATGCAAGCACTGTATACATAATCCTCCCCTAAATAAATATTTTTGTTTTGTTCCACAACTTTTCTTCACCCTTGTGTTTCTCAGAATCCCTTGTGATGCTCCCAAAATGTTTTTATGTTTTGATTCAGTGTGCGGCTCTTCTCAGATATTTCCCTGTTTCAGCAAGGCATGGATGAAGAGGTAACCCAGATGGAGCGGAGACCAGAGGAATCCAGACCCCATGGAGAACCTGGAGGGACAACATGTCACCAGGTCCTAAGCTCAGGCAGTGATGGAAATGATTCATCAGAAAGCAAAACAAAGGGAGATAACTCCAGTGACAGTGATCAATCAAAAGCAAAAAACAAGTTTATCTGACAGTGATATTGACAATGTGAATCAGTCAGCAGACTACAAGGCTGTAGGGGAAACAGCTTTAGCTTCTGACAATACAAACAGTGTGTTTGACAGTGTCAACACCCTTTCAAGCCAAACCAAAGTGGGAAGAAATGAAGTTCCAAATATGACACAAGAGCAAAGGCAGGATAATAGGTTAACACACATGTTGCCAAATTATGCAGAATATGATGCCCCATTTAGAAATGTTGAAAACATTGACTTTGAACTTGAAGATCTTGTTGGTTATTCTGATGAAACCTCAAGACCTGACATCCGAAATGTTTTGACATTGTTTGAGATGTGTATTCGTTCGGTTTCAGCAAAGCACTTTCGCCAGAAACAACAATTAATAAGCAGCGTGCCTCTTCCCATAAAAGATGTTTTGTATGAGAGAAGGCGAGACCAGGCCTTTACAAGTATTCAGCTCTCATCACTTCATGATCTCCTTGCCTTTATGGAAAGGGATTCTATTATGTTGACAACATTGAAGAACTATGGTGTTAATGAGACAACCATCACAACATACCGTGACCTGATAGTAAGAACAAGAAACATCTGGAATGATGATGCATTTGAATCAATATATAGAGACTACATTGATGGGGAATGCACTTCAATCCTGCCTTTTTCTTATGTCAACCAAGTGAAGTGCCCTGCTGGGAACTGGGGTGAAGTTATGAAGTGTTTTCCTATTTGTCAGTTATCAGGTAACTCCAGGTGAATGCCATACATGAATATACAATGTGTCACTGACATATAATACGCCCATTCATAATGTACCTACGGGTTAGAACTGGTCTTCAGCAACCGTTGCTTGTTGTAAAAGGCAACTAACGGTATTGGGTGGTCAGGCTTGCTGATTTGGCTAATGCCAATCATTCTGTCCTGATTGCATAGATGGATGCTGATGTTTGTAAACAATATCATTTTGCTCTTAAAGGAAAAGTTAGTTTCAAGGTCTGGCTTATTAACAGTTGTTAACATTGTTTTTGACAGTGGTGGCAAGTGTGATAGAACTGATGCTACCTCAGCATATTTCTCTTGGACTTCTCAGTAATGTGTACAGAAACTGCAGCTCAGAATCAGAGCTCATTCGGAAAGCCACAGATACTATGGTCTACTCTGTAAGGAAAAACCTCAAAAAAAGGTGGGTGTAACATTTGATCATTTTGAATTTGGTAGCTTTAAAGATTATAATACACACCATAGCATAATTGAAAATGGAATACTGTTCAAAGCTGTTTTAAAAAGTGTCTTGTGATTTCTTATCCCCAGCTGTGGATGTCATCTTTGATGCAGTACTTCCCAATGTATTCTTGTTTCAGACACCCAGCTATTGCTGATGTCTTCTTTGATGAAGCCCAGTCTTATGTATTCTTGTTTCAGACACCCAGCTATTGCTGATGTCTTCTTTGATGAAGCCCAGCCTTATGTATTCTTGTTTCAGATACCCAGCTATAGTTGAAGTCTTCTTCAACTGTGCGCTGCCCTATGTGTTTTGGGCTCGGGGAAACATCAAACTGGCTGCTGAATGCTTTCTGCGTATTGCACAAACTGAAGATGGTAATGTTTACCATACTCAACTGTCAATATGAAATGCCCTGCCAGATCTGCATTCACTAAGGTCCAGATATACTTTTACATATATGCCTAATACATGTGTATGTATTTTGTTAGTAGTTTGTTACAGTTATCCTTTTCACTGGGTGTAAGTTTCTGGTACTTTAAAAATGTGCTTTTGGAGTAGGGACTGGAGAAGCCCTTTCTGATCTTAAGTTTGTTGTACAAAATGTCGCCTTGATGCTGTAAGTGTTAACGAAGCCAGTTTTGTCAGTCTTACAGTTTATACAATCTATTTGTCCCTTTGGATATCTTCCAGACAATGTAGTCCTGATCAAAATTCGATGTGAAAGGTATGATCTCATTTCGCCATTAGAATGAGAAAACAGACAAGTTTTAAGTTTAAGTCTAATTATTGCTGATTTCAGAAGTCATGGAGCTAATAATCCTTTGTTCATCACGAAAATAACACTCGACCACCAAACTGCATTTATTGTAAATTAAGTGGTCCTTCAGAAAACCTGCTAGACCAAAACATATAACTTCTGTGCAGCAGACAAAACATTTATTGTAGTGCTTTTCAGCTTTTTTTCATACATATTTTAAGAGTGACTGATGAATTCATTTCATGCAACTTTTGGTGATAACATGTTAGCCATTGCCTGCCTATACAAAGCTAGATAAGTGAAACTTTGCAAAGATGATTTGAGCTAACATAACACTGACATCAGTGTCTGTCAGCCTGCAGTGTGCGGTGGAGGCTTAGTGATGGCATGGGGTGTGATCACCACGATAACCAGAACCCCATTAGAGTCGATTATTTACAGACCACCACCATATAGCTGGAATATTGCTGAGTGTGGTGTAAAACTGAACTCACTCACTCACTCCCTTGGGGAAAACTTCATTACAAAGGCAATGAAATAATGTTGTGTTTCATTTTAAGAAAATAGTAGAGCTGTATTCTTGTGCGAGGCAGCTCGGTTGTACGCACAGAATGAGGAACCAATGAAAGCAAAGCAGCTGTACATGGAGGCGTCTGACTCTATAATGTGGAGGTCAAGGTTACAGTGGGAGGAAAAGTCAGTTCGCCTACAAAAGTTCATGCTGATGGCCAGTGCGTACGATCAAGGGTAAGACTACAGCAGATTGGCTGCTCTGTGAATTGAACTCCTCAAAAGCAGCCAAATCCATATTGGTCACACTGATACACAATGTACCTTTAATATGGTCATTAAAACACCAGCTAAACCTGAACACAAATATTAGTATACAGATACACAATGGAAGCATGTTATCAATTTTGACATTGACAATATGTGTTTTTGTGCTCAGGCCAGTCTCTACACTTACAGTTCAAACTGTAAATTCTGACATTGTTATAACAGATATTCTCATACCTAAATACCAAGATGATTTTAATTTGATTTTTAGGGCTATTTTGCCAAATATTACAAAAATTCAAATACGCATTTTCAAAGTTATTTTATTTTGTTAGGCTAAGACTAGCTACATATCTGTACCAAATTCCCAAACTGAGACCTTTTCAACAACCTGCAGAATTGTAAATCTACTTCTCTGACAGAAGCCACTTTCTTTAATAACCTATGTGCAACCTGTACGTGTATACTGGTGAATTAAAGAAGGAAAACATGGCATATGATTTAAAACATCACTGTTACATTCCCCTTGATAGAGTGATGACACCTGAGAAGGCCACCCAGGCAGCTGGTGCATGGGAAGGGGCTATGAACTTCCTGTATCCCAGCTGTCCCCAGAGATCCAGCATCCAGCCTGTGGAGTCCTTTCTGTGTTTCCACAGCGGAACAGCACAAGGTGAGCATGCAGCACAGAGTGAGTTAGATAAAACTTTACTTTGAATGAGGGTTGGGACGGGCATAGGCCAAGGTACCCAAGGTAGCATTACTCGACCCGACTGCTTTATTCAGAGCTAATTCCTACATGACTTCTGTCCATAGACTGCTCAGGATTATCTGGGGGATGTGTGTCTCTGTCTATTGTCTTCTGTGCAAAGAAAGTGCTCAGGAATGTTTGTGGGAATGTGGGTCATATCTTTCTGTTGCTTTTGTCCACAGAGTGTGTTCAGGATTGAGTTGGATGGATGTGTGTCTTTGAGCAAAGAAAGTGCTCAGGAATGTTAATGGAGATGTGTTTTATATCTTACTGTTGCTGTTGTCCACAGAGTGTGTTCAGGATTGAGTTAGAGGGATATGTGTCTTTGAGCAAAGAAAGTGCTCAGGAATGTTTATGGAGATGTGTTTTATATCTTACTGTTGCTGTTGTCCACAGAGTGTGTTCAGGATTGAGTTAGAGGGATATGTGTCTTTGAGCAAAGAAAGTGCTCAGGAATGTTTATGGAGATGTGTTTTATATCTTACTGTTGCTTTTGTCTATTGACTGGTGTGTCTGTCCACAGAGAGTGTTCAGGATTGAGTTATGCTATTGACTTATGCTTCTGTGTAAAGAAATGCTAATGATTGTTTATGGAGATGTGTTTTATATCTTGCTGTTGCTTTTGTCCACAGAGCGTGTTCAGAATCGTCTCGAATACTGTGTGAAGCTGATAGAGAGACTGGTAGATTCTTTTGAATTCCTGCTGCTCCATCTGTCCCTGGTGATGGCTTTGCTTGGAGATGAAAAGAAATCTTTAAGAGCATTCTCAACTCTCATTTTCAGGTAACTAGCTGATGATTCAACCATTCTTAAAAAAGTATGACATCCTTTTTCAAAACAGTTTTTTAAGCTAAGAAAAAAAGCAACATTTGTCATCTTGGAAGTGATACAATGATTCTATCACTCAGCAAAAGAACTATATCGTCAAAACTGTGTTGATTCTTTGACTATTTCTTTTGTTGTTTTGATTGTCTTCATTCCTAATAGAGAAAAACTGGAAATGCCACTTCCATGGCTAGATAACCAACACAATCCATGGCAGCCAGTTCTTGACCATGTTGCCGAACATGGAACTCCAAAATGTCTCAAGGTCATATGGAGGACACAGCTTGGTCATCCTCGGATTGTCAATAGCATGTAAGTAGTTTGAGTCAGTTAGATCAAAGCTTACGCTACATGTAATATTTTTTTCTTATTTACAGAGTCAGTCAAAATCTCTTTCTATAGTTACTGGACTATTCAGATAATGTCTTTGCATCCAGTAGACATAATTTAATAGGGAAATCATGAGATGTGTGAACAGCAACTATCTAATTCATTTCTTGCTATTTTCTAATATTTCAAAGCTGTTGAATTTAAAGCAATTTGGTTCTTAGGAATTCCTTTGAGGGGGACTACCAGTCCATGGCAGACCTGAATCTGAGACTGACAGATGCTGGCTTTATCACGGCTGATCTCCAGATGATGATGCCCCCTATCAGGGCCCTCAAACTGGATCCGTACACAGGGTAAACTGTAACTGTTGATCAGGGTAGACTTTAACTGTTGATACATACACAGGGTAAACTATGACTGTTGAATCTTACACAGGGTAAACTTGGACTGTTGATCAAAACTTTCACTATCTGGTAAACTTTACATTGAAGGGTAAAGTGCGGTGTTTCTAAAAGTAATGCACTACTTATTTCCATATTCAAATGATGCTTCATAAGCAAAGAAGCATTCCTGTTGTGAAGTTATACTAGTTGTTGAGTGTACTGCTTTTAGCAATATTAGTTATTGAGTGCACATTTAGCAATATTAGTTATTGAGTGTGCTGCTTTTAGCAATAATCAAGCAGTATTACAATGGGCACTGCACAATATTGAGAAATGAACCTGGATCTTCCTGTAATGAGCAAATACATAAACTGCTTGGTTCTCAACCTCCCCAAAGTGTAAACAATACAAAATTACAGTAGCTGTTGTGAGCAGGGTATGGCCAACCCAATGAAGTGACTACTGTTGCCTGTACTTTCAGGCTTCACCTTCACACGTCAGGGCTGACTACCAAGTGGCATTCCTTCAATAACTCACCACTCCCCCATGCTCCAGTCCACAGACATGGTATGTGCTATAGTCTTTTGAAAGAGATGAAATATTCTGTAAACCAGCAAATAGAAATAGTGTCCAGAGGTACAGATAAGCTGCGTATCTGCGTAAATTACACAAATATTTATGTTAAAACTCAATTCCTATTAAGTCTATTGCGTACAAGTTCACTTAAATTTTTGTAAATACTCAATAAATGTGATCTTACATGCGTACACACAAAAATGTCAAGTCTTTGCTTGCGTACCGGTGGATAGATAAAATAACTGAGGTATATTGAGAAGTTCTATTTAAGGACATGAACTTGACAGCTTGCAGTCTTTCTTATCGTTTATCATATTACAGATCAAATATAAATAACAAACACTAACATTTAAATTTTATTATATTTTTAAAATTAATGGAAAATGGCATAACCAATTGAGTTTGAGTAAGGTGAGTACAGTTATTTGGTTACTCAAAAGAAAATTAGGATACCCATGTGAGATGAACACAAGCGAGTACATAACTCAATGACCCAAGAAGTTATCTGTAGATCATCTGTCACTAGACCTATGTATTAAAGTTAATTGCAGCATCTCTACCTAAAAAACTGTCTCATATAAACACCAAGATTGATGACATGGTGCTATGATATGGTGTAGAAATGATTTGTTTATCAATATTCACTCAATCACTCTTTGTCTCTCCCAGGATTACACATAGTGCCAACACTGACAGAGGTGTATCGTGACACTGACACAATGGTCCATCTGTCATGTCCTGATTACTCCCTGCTAGATATTAAATCAACAACATATGCACAACAACTGACCCTATTTTGGACAGGACCAGGAGATCAAGGGGTCAAACTTGATCTTATACCTTTTTTGAAGGCTGTATGTAAGCAGGTGAGTTGAAATCATCAGAAAGTTAACCTTACCATCATGTGGCGGGTACTTTACTGGCAAGAATCATCTAGCTGAAACCTTAATGTGGCAGAAGGCTTCTTCCACCTTATCTATTAGCTCAACACTTTTGTTGGCCACATTGTGTTGTAGATGATGATTCATTTCAGACAGGTCAAGTTCAGTAATCAGATCTATCAGCTACTGGGACGGTGAGGTAGTCTAGTGGTTAAGGCATTCACTTGTCACCTTCTGATATTGCTGGAATATTGCTAAATGCAGCATAAAACCCAACTTATTCACTCACTCACTATCAGCCACTATTAAGCAAGTCAAACTAAAATTAGGCTGAGACTCCATTTCAGATGGAAACAGTTTCATTATGAAGACAAAGGGTTTAACTCCTAATGTGGGAACAATGTGTAGAGGCCATTTTTTGACATTCATGATCAATATTGCCGAAAATGTCATTTACGTTTTTAACATAAGAACTTGATGGACTGAAGAACCCCTTTCAAATGTGTTTTAGAGAGCCCAAGAAGTCATTGAAGCCATGAAGACCTCAAACAGGTTCCGCAATTCCTCTCCATGTGAGAAAGGTGGCGCCATCTGGGAGGAGAAGATGAAGATGGCCCTGGAATACTGTTTTGCTGAGGGCTACAAAATGTCTCAACACGTGGGTCTTCTTTTCTTTGTAAAATAATGCTAAATATTTATGGATTGAAATGCCATAAAATTGTATGGATCTTTTTGGATCTGGCACATATTTCCATTTGTCACTGTTGTCTAACTGAAACTATTTATCATCTCCTGATTTAATTCTGTATCAGTTTGCAACATATATTATTTGTTAGATTTTGTGATAACCCAACCAGATAACTTCATAAACTCATTGCATGGAATGTTCGCAAAAAGCCCAGATTATCCAACTGTGCAAGCAGAATTAAGTTGATAGTAATATGAACATGGACAGTTCAGTGCAAACATAAAGTTAACTATCGCGTTATTATTATCATATCATGACTCTACTATTGCAATACAGGTATGTGTCAATGCATCACACCTGTTGGTGTTGGAGCTGAAAGTCAGATTTGTATTGTTTCAGACCGTAGAAGAAGTTAAGAATCGCCTCTGGGAGAAGATTCTCAAATTTACTCACCAATCAGACAAAAGAAGAAAGCTTTCTAAGAAAGAAATACAAGAAGACAACCCAACTGACAGGCCAACTTACAAGTATGAGCCAGATAGTTTCAGCTTTGTGGTTGAGGAGTGCTTTGCCTACAGAGACACTGTCTACCTGGCAGTCTATGATACCTACACGCCAAAGAGGATTCAAGTGGTATGTTCACCTAGAAGATATGAAGGTTGTTACATAGAACACGTTTTTCCAAGGGACCACTTTAGTAATAATAATATCTTGAGACAGGAAATGAGTCACGGCTGTATGAAATCTGAAAGAGTCAAGTACCTAGCAGTGATGATTGAGTTAGGTTTTAACTCCGTTTTAAACAGTTATTCAGTGATATTAACTAGCTTAATGCAGGAGGAAAACCTGCAGCTCTAGACTTTGTTACTTTTGTGAAACCCTCTAGGGTAGATATGGTGCTATTAAACCTAGAAAGATAATCATAATTTGGGATCGTAAAACTATTGAAGAAGCTTGAGGTATGCAACTCTGCAAGGCGAACATCTGTAAGACAACCCTGCAACAATGTCCCTGACAGACTTTATTGTTTATTGAAGTTAATTGCCACACTCAGCAATATTCCAGCTGTAAGATGGTGGCCTATAATGGCAACCTGCATATATGCTGACCTGTGAAACCAGAGATTGATATTATGATTTGGTTGGTTGGATTGATGTTTAACGCCACACTTGAGGTCTGTTCCAGCACTCCCTGTTGGTAAATACTATTTCAAGGCAATAGTGGAGAATGGGTCCAGAGTATTTAAGTTATCATTGAAACATTATTCCATGGTTTAAACCTCCAGCAAGGTAAAGGGGTTTAAGTGGGCTCAAGACCCTGAAATCATTACATGTCAGATTGACGATCCAGTCACAGGTTTACTATGAGATATGAAGATACCTACAATACCATAAGCATAAACAGGTTTACAAATACTATTTAACCTTACAGAATAGATATAACATACACTGCATAATCAAGATATCATGTGGAGAGACTTGATGTTTTCAGTGCCTTTTTGATCTAGTGACCCCTCAGTATGTATCAGGTCTTTGAATGGCATTAAAAAGTGATACAAATAAGGAAGAGAATGTTATGGATGTCAACTTTTTTATTACAAGAAAGGTGGGTGGGTGGTGGTGGTTGTGTTTAATCGATTTTGTACATGTAATGCAGGGTCACTTACTTTGTACATAAAGTTAAGGGGAGGTCCTTTACATTGTACATGCTTCTCCATTAAAATCATCATCACCCCGCCCCTAGACATAAATTATGAACAGCCTTTCACCTTCATCAAATGAATGATAAATTTGCTTCCTCAATATGTAGTTTTCAACATAAGGATGATGACACTTTGATTCTTATTCCTCTTTTAAGTTTGTAGACTGTTCCAGTAAGGAAAGCTTCATGCAGCCCTATCTGACCACAGAACACTCTCATGACTTCTGTGACCGCATCGATGACCCCCAGGCGTCCAGCATACTCTCCCTGAAGATGACCAGTAAACACAGGAGCCATCCTCCAGACGATATCATGTGGCACATGGGCATTCTGAAAGAGTACAGGAATCACAGGTCCTCAGTCACAGAGATAGTTCTAGATAGTTAAGGATATCACATGGTTCTTAATGACTGTGAGAATCAATATGTCAGGCGTCAAATTGTTCTCCTTAATAGTCGAATATTTAGGGTCATACATCAAACAATTAGTTTCCAATTTATGACTTCCTCTTTTGTAGCAATGGTGTTAATGCAGCAATGCTCTTTAAACATTAACTTATTGATCTATTTGTTAAAATTTATTCAAAATTTCATTTGACATTATTTACAGTAAACTCAGCAAAATCATTTGTGAAGTGGTCACCAAAGCACTAACTCACTGTTATTTACAGCAACAACGGCAAGATTAAGGCTTTTGAAACAAACTATAGCTGAGAGAAATTGGATTCATTTATCATAAATGCCTTACTTTTGCTGGTTAAAGATAGGTCTTCAGTAACCTATGCTTGTCGTAGGAGGCGACTAATGGGATCAGGTGGTCAGGCTTGCTGACTTGGTTGACATGTGTCATCGTATCCCAATTGTGTAGATCGATGCTCATGATGTTGATCACTGGACTGGGTCCAGACTTGATTATTTACAGACTACCCCCATATAGCTGGAATATTGCTGAGTGCAGTGTTAAACAACAATCAATAAGCCAATGTTAAAGATAATATTTGTTCAGATTTGACTATAATATGTCAACATAGCATTTTTGCGATGGTCAGCGTGGAAGCCTCTGAGGGCTGTGTCTGGTTACCACAGAAAGGATGTGTGGGCTCTTGAGCAGTGTCATATCACAGTAAAACATCTGATTTTAATGTGTTTGTACCACGCAGATTGCATATTCCAAAACTAGAGTAAATGTCCTCAAATATTAGCAAGGTAATGCAGCATTAGAGGCGATTATTAAAACATTACAATTTTTCTCTGTGTATTGCAGGAAGCAGTATGTATATGGCAAGAAAGGAAAGCTACTCAAAACCATCTCAGATAATCAAATGGTGGCACCACATGTCCTTGGGAGTAAGCTGTATGGGCTTACTACTGACAAACTCAGGTTGGTAGGGAAGCTTAACATAACTTCGCGTTGAGAAGAACAATGTTTTACACAGGACGGTTTTTGTAATGACAGAAAAATTGACATTCCCTTCCTGCTTGAAAAATTGCAAATATTTGCCATTATTGGTGATCATTTGATTAGTTCGGTTTAGTGAATTCTTTATTAAATGTCAGAGGATAAAGAAACCTCAGTGAGTAAATCCAACAGATGACTTGGTTGAGTGCTTGGCATACAACACCAAAGACGTTGGATTATAATGATTATATCAATTGCTAGTTTGTCTGGGACCTGACCACAACATTCATATACATGTAGTCAGTTCTGACATGTGCAACTTGCTGGAGATCTAATCCAAAATCTCCACCGGCTCAGAAATTACAAAATGCGGAAAATTCTAAATGAAAACAAGCAGTTCATTTTTGTCGTAACTTTCAGTGGAATGCTGTATGATTTAAAAGTTGTACAATTCATTTGGTCCTAAAATACGGGACATAAGTTTAGCTGATGGCTGATGATGTCTGAAATTGTATCAAGTTCAGTAAATAATGGCATGTGCTTGTTTTTTATGTATTTATTGTTTTTTCATTTTTTGGTTTCATTGTTTTACTTGCATACTTCTTACAGGTATTTAATTTACAGACTGTGGAATCCTAATTATTGGCTAAAATGGTAATTACCTACATACTAAAGCAAAGCATGTATTATCAAGGGGGGGTGAGGTAGCCTAGTGGTTAAATCATCTGCTCGTCACGCCGATAACACGGGTTCGACTCCCCACATGGGTACAATGTGAGAAGCCCATTTCTAGTGCCCCACACCGTGATATTGCTGGAATAGTGCTAAAGCTGAGTAAAACCATACTCACTCACTCACTATTATCAGGGTGTGATCTCTATGGGCAACAAGTAGCTGTGATTTGCCTGATGGCTGAAAATTTGAAGGCATTTTGGTAGTAGGCCTAATGATGTGACTTATGTGATGATGATGTTAATTCTTTTGATCTTTGTTTCAGAGTCAGATGTGACCCAATCACCGAAGATGAGATTCTCAGTGAGGAGTTCGCAGAAATAAGAAGTCTTTTGTTTGGAGGAGACAAAGTCATAGCTGTAACAGAAAGCATGATCTACTTCCTGCATCCTGATACCTTGCAAACCCTGAGTGTTACCCAGCATCGTGACAGGTAGGGATTGTTCTGTAGTAACCATGGTAATCATCTTCAAAGCAAGGGCATTATGAAACACAGTCACATTCATCAATATGACATGTTTATATGTTGTTACTATGCTCATATTAAACAGATATAGAATGAGTTAATGCTAAAAGTTCTCACTGAATTCAAAGAATGACAACTTTTAACTTTCTTCAGAGAATGTGTATATTTTGAAACTCATGATGGAACTTATGTTTGTTTTGGTCTGTCTACAGCAGTAATGTTAAGGTGAGTGAGGATGGCCACAACATCCGCTTTCCGTCAGGATCTCCAGTCAAGATCCTGGAGAAGAAAAAACTGGAGGAGAAGACGAGACTTGCATTTGGCATCGGTGAAATGTTGATGTTTGTGGATGTCACAGATGATGTTGTTGAGGTTGTGATAGACTTGTTGGTTCCTGGAGTTGCAACAGAGGTCTACACCATCAGAGAAGATGGTAAATGGAATAATACTTCTTTATGTCAGGTGTAACAGAACTGGGATAAACAGTAAATGAGATGAGTTTCCATAATATATTTGGACAAAATGTATGCTAGTATCTCTCATGCCCCGACCAATCATTCATCTTATGTGATACAATTAGATTTTGGAGATTATGGGTTAGAATAGGCCCCCCCAGAGGTGATCTATAAAGCCAGTTGGTCAGATTCAGAGACTTTGTGACTGTATGCATCATACCTAGACATCAGGGATGAGTGCTCATGATAATTAATCATTGGTTTGACCAGTTCAAACCATCATATAGCTGGTATATCGCCAAATCACAAACAAAATAGAAATCATTTGATCACATCTGTAAAGAATGTGTTCAGAATTTGATGCCAGACCTCATACTCAAGATAGGTACTTCCTACCTTCCCTGTAAGGGAATAATGCAAGGAATGGGAAGGAGTCTTTCCCAGTGCTATAGCAGTAACACACATGTCCTTGATAGTACCCCCCCAGGCAGTATACTTGTTCAAGGTAGGTTGTCTTGGTGCATGCTCTCTAGAGGGAGTGAATGAGTATTGTTTAATGTCACTTTTAGCAATATTCCAGCAGTATCACAGTGGGGACACCTGTAATGGGCTTCACACATTGTACCCATGTGGGGAATCAAACCTGCGTCTTCAGCATGACGAGCGGACGCTTTAACCACTAGGCTACCCCACCACCCCCTCTACAAGTGGAAATCCTAGGTTGATTAGCCATGTGTGAACCATGCGTGTGTGAAGGCAATGCCTCCTGTTACACAGTGGATAGATGACTGCTCAAGACCGCAATATACCTCACTCACTCATGCCGAGAAACGACTACTGATATGGATTGTTCATCTTTGACAAATCTTTTGTATCCTGAAACTAACCTGATGGTAACATCTGATTTTCTATTTCTTGCCATTAATGTTGTGTTTCATCATCTCCTTCTTTTCAGTGGACTTTCTGGTATCAGTCACTGTTCAAAAGGGAGGTGAAGACAACTTCTACAGAGAGCATGTGTTCCACTATAACCATCATGGGAAGATCCTTGGGGTACTGCCCTTCCTTGGACCTGGACCAAGATGTTTCTGTGTGGAGTACCTAAAGGAGTTGGATGGGGTGACAGACACAGATTGTGGCAGAAGGGGCTGGCATGTCTTTATGAGGGACGGCCATGAGGGGATTATAGGTGTACGTCTGTGAATACCAGGAACTGTCAAAGATTGGCCATCAGGGGAATATAGGTGTGTGTCTGTGAATAACAGGAACTGTCACAGATTGGCCACCAGGGGATTATAGGTGTATGTCTTTGAATAACAGGAACTGTCACAGACAAGACATCTGTGAATAACAGGAACTGTCACAGACTGGCCATCAGGGATTATAGCTGTACATTTGTGAATACCAGGAACTGTCGCAGACTGGCCATCAGGGGATTATAGGCATATGTCTGTGAATAACAGGAACTGTCACAGACTGGCCATCAGGGGATTATAGGCGTACACCTGTGAATATCAGGAACTGTCACGGATTGGCCATCTGTGAATAACAGATGGTTTTGGCTGTGAATGATGATCAGAAGAAAGTACTTGGTCTGATCCTGCAGAGAGGATGTTCCACAGATTGAGTTAGTGTTGAGAATAGTGTATGCATGACAGCTGCAGAACTGTGCTGACTTCTTTGAAATGAGTCATGGTTTGATGCCTATGTATGATGGCCACTACACCTACCTAAACTTGGTGCTGTTAATTCATGACCCAGAGACTTTGTCAGCATGAAAGCAGTGATTGTTAAGACAGATTACTTGCAGTGTGATGTTGTTTCTATATATTTTTATATACTGTGTATTGTATATATTAAACTGTATATTTATTTTGCCTTATAATAAATGTATGTGATGAACAGTTAAAGTATACAAATCTCTGTCTGTGTCCATGTTTTTTCCTATCCCAGGAAAGAAGACTTTCAGAAATATTACTTATAAATGGCCTCAAATTTTGATCATGTGCGCACATTTTGACAACAGTAAAAGACTCCCATTAAAAATACTGGACTCAAAAAAAGAGGTCATTCCATTCTTGGATTGAACACTGAAGTAAACAGGTGTGAGTTGACTTTCTCCGATGAGTGAGTGAAGGCCATAAAGTTTCTAAATTACAAGCTTTCTACTTTTGAATGACCTTTACTCAACATAAATGGGGGTCATTTTTAAGTCATCAATGTTCGATATCCCCATTTAATAGGGGAAATTCTTAACTATTCGTTGTTTGATATCTTCAGTTAATAGGAGTTGCCTTGAATTCTTCAATGATTGATAACTTCAGTTAATTGGTCATCATTAATTCTTCACAGTATGATAGTCACTGTAAATGGGTGTTGCCTTATAATCTTTCATGTATGATCCACCATGAAATTAGAGGGCTTGCCTTTAAAATTGCACTCAAGTAGGAATAGGTAGGTGGGGGTAGCCTAGTGGTTAAAGCATTCGTCACATGAATACCTGGGTTCGATTCCCCACATGGCTACAATGTGTGAAGCTAATTTCTGTTGTCCACCTCATGATATTGCTGGAATATTGGTGAAAGCAGCGTAAAACTGTTATGTGAATTAGTGGATTATTTTTTCAGTGCTGCAGAAATTCTGTGCTGTCAAAAACGCAGATTTAATAACGGATTATTTTTGGTTCATCAAAGTATTGATATAAAACTCTTTTGAGTGACATATACCCTCACCGCAGCACTGAAATCCACACCTCAATTAATGACGCAAAGATTGCAGTCAGCCCATCTGACAGATGATCGGTACCAGAATGATACACCTAATTACATATGATTACAACAACCATTAATAAATAAAACAAGAAGACGAAGTCATCAATACCCCCTCAACGGCAAAATACTCTTTATGAATATGTCTACTAGTTATGATTATGTCAAATGTTTTGGAGTGTATACAGCAAAGTGGAAGGAGAGTACTGAAAGGTTTTTAAGATCTGCTCCAGAAAGGAGCACTACCACCAAATTCAGTTGAAGCCTAACTTGTTGCCATGGAAATGCAACAAGAAGACATCCTCATAGTCACAGCCTCATGGGTACAATGTGAGAAGCCCATTTCTAGTGTCCCCCGCCGTGATATTGCTGGAATAGTGCTAAAGCGGAGTAAAACCATACTCACTCACTCACTATTATCAGGGTGTGATCTCTGATGGCTGAAAATTTGAAGGCATTTTGGTAGTAGGCCTAATGATGTGACTTATGTGATGATGATGTCAATTCTTCTTTGTTTCAGAGTCAGATGTGACCCAATCACCGAAGATGAGATTCTCAGTGAGGAGTTCGCAGAAATAAGAAGTCTTTTGTTTGGAGGAAACAAAGTCATGGCTGTAACAGAAAGCATGATCTACTTCCTGCATCCTGATACCTTGCAAACCCTGAGTGTTACCCAGCATTATGACAGGTAGGGATTGTTCTGTAGTAACCATGGTAATATGACATGTTTATATGTTGTTAATATGCTCATATTAAACAGATAGAATGAGTTAATGGTAAAAGTTCTCACTGAATTCAAAGAATGACAACTTTTAACTTTCTTCAGAGAATGTGTATATTTTGAAACTCATGATGGAACTTATGTTTGTTTTGGTCTGTCTACAGCAGTAATGTTAAGGTGAGTGAGGATGGCCACTACAAGAAGACATCCTCATAGTCACAGCCTAAGTCATGTTTCGATGGAAACCACATATCTGGGTCTAACCCCCAAAAGGCACATCTAGGGATCATGCTTGATATGTGTACCAAGTTTGATGAAGCTAGCTGTATAATTTAGGAGATCTGCTCTGGACAAGATGGCATCCTCATAGCCACAGCCTAAGTCACGTTTCGATGGAAACAGCAAAAAACAAAATTCATATCTGGGTCTAACCCCTAAAAGGCACATCTAGGGATCATGGTTGACATGTGTACCAGGTTTGATGAAGCTAGCATGTATAGTTTGGGAGATCTGCTCCTGACAAGATGACATCCTCATAGCCACAGCCTAAGTCACGTTTCGATGGAAACAGCAAAAAACAAAATTCATATCTGGGTCTAACCCCTAAAAGGCACATCTAGGGATCATGGTTGACATGTGTACCAGGTTTGATGAAGCTAGCATGTATAGTTTGGGAGATCTGCTCCTGACAAGATGACATCCTCATAGCCACAGCCTAAGTCACGTTTCGATGGAAACAGCAAAAACAAAATTCATATCTGGGTCTAACCCTAAAAGGCACATCTAGGGATCATGGTTGACATGTGTACCAGGTTTGATGAAGCTAGCATGTATAGTTTGGGAGATCTGCTCCTGACAAGATGACATCCTCATAGCCACAGCCTAAGTCACGTTTAGATGGAAACAGCAAAAAACAAAATTCATATCTGGGTCTAACCCCTAAAAGGCACATCTAGGGATCATGGTTGACATGTGTACCAGGTTTGATGAAGCTAGCATGTATAGTTTGGGAGATCTGCTCCTGACAAGATGACATCCTCATAGCCACAGCCTAAGTCACGTTTCGATGGAAACAGCAAAAAACAAAATTCATATCTGGGTCTAACCCCTAAAAGGCACATCTAGGGATCATGGTTGACATGTGTACCAGGTTTGATGAAGCTAGCATGTATAGTTTGGGAGATCTGCTCCTGACAAGATGACATCCTCATAGCCACAGCCTAAGTCACGTTTCGATGGAAACAGCAAAAAACAAAATTCATATCTGGGTCTAACCCCTAAAAGGCACATCTAGGGATCATGGTTGACATGTGTACAGGTTTGATGAAGCTAGCATGTATAGTTTGGGAGATCTCTGCTCCTGACAAGATGACATCCTCATAGCCACAGCCTAAGTCACGTTTGATGGAAACAGCAAAAACAAAATTCATATCTGGGTCTAACCCTAAAAGGCACATCTAGGGATCATGGTTGACATGTGTACCAGGTTTGATGAAGCTAGCATGTATAGTTTGGGAGATCTGCTCCTGACAAGATGACATCCTCATAGCCACAGCCTAAGTCACGTTTCGATGGAAACAGCAAAAAACAAAATTCATATCTGGGTCTAACCCTAAAAGGCACATCTAGGGATCATGGTTGACATGTGTACCAGGTTTGATGAAGCTAGCATGTATAGTTTGGGAGATCTGCTCCTGACAAGATGACATCCTCATAGCCACAGCCTAAGTCACGTTTCGATGGAAACAGCAAAAAACAAAATTCATATCTGGGTCTAACCCCTAAAAGGCACATCTAGGGATCATGGTTGACATGTGTACCAGGTTTGATGAAGCTAGCATGTATAGTTTGGGAGATCTGCTCCTGACAAGATGACATCCTCATAGCCACAGCCTAAGTCACGTTTCGATGGAAACAGCAAAAAACAAAATTCATATCTGGGTCTAACCCCTAAAAGGCACATCTAGGGATCATGGTTGACATGTGTACCAGGTTTGCTTAAGCTATCACTAATAGTTTAGGAGATATGCTTCGGACAAAGTGTGACGGACGCACGCACGGACGGAACTTCGTTGTTGCGGGGGATAATAGAATAGAATAGAATAGAATAATACTTTAATGCCTTTTCAGAATTTGTGTTACATCAGCAGAGCTACTGACACATTAGAGAGATACCAAACATATTTACATAAATTCTTTGATTTAGGCATCTTCACATTTGTTTAAGAGAGATATGGTACTTGGAATAAAGGATGTACGGGCTCTCTTTGTTTTCACAATTGGAACTTTGTATCGGCGGCCTGAAGGGAGAAGGTTGTATTCCGAATTTAAGTAGTGAGTACGGTCAGATATGATTTTGACAGCTTGATTCACGATTTGCCGCTCATATATTGATGATAAACATTCAAATCTGACTCCAGCGATTTTACTTGCAGTGTTAACAATTTTGTCTATTCTAGATTTGAGATGAACTGAGAGAGACCCGTACCAACAATGGAAGGAAAATGTTAAAATACTCTGAATAAATGCTACATAAAAAGATGACATCACAGATGGGTTAACATTAAAAGATCTCAGTTTACGCATGAGATGAAGACGTTGTTGACACTTTTTGTATAGGGCTTCAGTGTTAGAGTTCCAGTTCAGCTTAGAGTCAATGATGGTTCCCAGATACTTATACTCCGACACTGTCTCAACACATTCACCGTTGATTATCACTGGAAGCAGTTCTGTGGGTTTACTCCGAAAGTCAATTATCAGATAAGGAATCCAGGGCAATGACATAGACTACCGGGAACCCTATAAAATGATAATTAACAAACGAAGGAAGTTAGAAAAATTATTAGAATTAGAAAAAGGATTGCATTCAATGAACAGATATGTCTAAACATATTTATAAAGTTTAGTTCAGAACGTTATGAAAAGATGCTGCAATTTTTAACAAAGAATTTTTTTTAAAAAACATGAAAAAACTTGTCAAATGTAGCAGGAAAAAATATTTTATACAAAATTCGAGATAACATAAATGGAATAATTTTACCTTCAGAAAGCAGGAAATTGCATCTGAGAGCATCTAATTTTAAAAACTTCACGGGGAAGCATGCCCCAGGAACCCCCAAGATCCTTGGCAGCTTCGCGGCCTCGAACGTGGATAGTTTGCACAAGGCAACAGAATCAAATCAGCTCTAGCTGTCAAAAGAAATTCTGTGCAAATCAGGACGGCGAATGTGAACATCCTCCAAAACAAACGCAGCTCTCCGCTGCCCGCCTGAAAGCAAAGGCTTTGTGTCGGTCTTGGCCCTGACAGCTTACCACAGTCCACAAAGACTGGATCGGGGAAGGTAACACCAGGGCATTACAACATGATCAGTCATACTTTAGCAATATGTTGACGAAGTGTTATGTCCTGTTGTTGTTCCATTGGCGGCTTGAAT